TTTTTTGTGCTCATTTTCGTAATGCTCACAAAAAAAAATACAGAATTGAATAGAATTTAATCTCAATGGGAAATATTGCATTTATGCTGCAATCACAATTGCTTTTGAAATGCATCTGTGGAAATCATTGTTATTTGCAAGCTCTTAAACGAGCTGCTCGCTTACAATAGTTCAAAGACATTGTCAGCTAGGGATGAACAACTTTATATGCATAACAATATTTATTCATGGTAGATTGTATCCGAGCGTATGGAAAACTTCTCCAATTTTAAAAAAAAAAATATTAAAAAATGCTTTAAATTTATGGAAACGTGAATACGAGGACGTACTTGATGAATAACTTAACGTACAATCTTTTTATGAGTGCATTTTTCCTGAGATCAATGTGCACATAATTTTTTTTTCTGAAGAATTTACTATCAGCAATATATCAAAGAATGATGCCATTCGAACAAAGTTCTTTTTTGATCAACAGTTTTATTGCAACTTCAACTTAAGGTTTTAAATTTATTGTTCAGCAATTTGTGCTTTGTAAGCATGTGAGTTAATGGATTTTAATTTGTTTGTGTGATGTGCGGCGATGCGAGATTTATTTGGTGTTATAAAGTGGGACTGAGGAAGCTATCTGAAGTTGTGAAGGGTTAGAAGAAGTTTTTTAAAAACTAGGGTCGTTCACTTGTGATGAAAGATGAATGCTAGGGTCGTTCACTTGCTATAAAAAATGAGTTTGCAAGTCCGTCTACGCTTCCGAAGGAAACGTATTAGGTTGTTCAGACTTATGTTCATCGTGTAAAAGGCTCTGGCAAGATACTAGAAATTTTAAATACACTGCTCTTAACTTGGATTCGAACTGAAAGGATTGAAATGTCTTACTTCTCCTAATTTGCCTTTACAAATGTTAAAAATGGACATTTATCATCCATCAACTCCCTCATAAGTCTACAGAGCGTGAATAACTTACGAAAGTTTTCACACAGCTTCCTTTACTCCTACAATTTTAAAGAAGTAACTTTAGGCGAGAACCAATTTTTTAATAAAAATCATTATGTAAGTAGAAGACTGTAATGAGTCGAATTTGTTGCTGGTAGGAGATGAGATGTGGTTTAAAGGATGGAATGAGCAGAAAGTATTAATTTAGGTTTAAATGTGTCTTAAACATCATTGATCTATGACAGTGGTAGCCAACCTTTTTGTATGGCGCATATGAACGTAAGCTTTAACTGAATTCTGCTATAACCCCAATTTTTTCGAGACTAGAAATGGCACATGGGTTGACCATCACTGTTTTATAATGTTACCAAATAAAGATAGTTTTGAAATCAAAATTGAAGATTTTCACCCTTTTATCCGAATGGAACAGTTTTGAACCAGACTTAGAACCAGACTTGTAACCTACCTTGTTTTGCTAAGCAGTAACTTTTTGATTCTGCATAAAATGCAATTATGAGATCCTAGGCTGTAACAAAAATTTGAAAATTTGATTTTAACTGGACTGGTGACTTGATTTTCCATCCTTTTGTATATCAGGTGCCTTGTTACACTTAGATTAGGTCAGTTTATCCCAAACAATTCGTACCATATACAGTGTAGGTCAATAGCTAGCTTGAATCGACCAAAAACTCGAAATAATAAAAGAATTCATACATCCTAATGTATACAGCACCACAAATACCAAAAGATCAATTCTTTCACACTTGTCTCATCCTCTCAAGGACACAATCATGAATTTCTCGTAATAATAAAAAGTTCCATTACATTCTGCAAATAAATTCAATAGAAAATCAACTCTAAAGCATTCAATACCATCAAATTTTATTGACAACCTCTTCAACCATGAACAGCAGAACCAGAAACTCTTGAACAGCAATTTCACAAAAATGTGTAATGTAATTATAATTTTAAAAGGAAATAATGTACTGAAGACACAGTAAGAACATTAAACTTTTTTTTTTATTTTTGTTCATGTCATTATAAAATCATTAAATAATGAATCACGAATTTCTTGTCAAAACGTGTCTAGCGTCTTTGGAAAAATTCTGTTAATTTTCAAGCTCTCCGCTTTGTGTTATGTCCAAGCAGTTAAAGAAAGTTCTCGATGTAACGTTGTAAGTACGACTATGAAAGAGTTTATTGAGTGATGAAATAAATGAAACGCGAAAAAACAATTTTTTCACCTCAAAAATATCATAATATATAGAATAAAAAAAAAGAGTGTAGGTTATTGAACTTGAATACACGAACGCGGCAGAGAGAGAGAGAGAAGCCGAAGAATGAGAATGAAAATTGCGAAATGTGTGGAGTCGATGCTGTGTGTGACATCATATGACACATCTATATTATTCATTTTTCTTGTCATGTATCAGCTCCGAAGCGTGTCTATGTATAGCGAAAGAAGTGTCAGTTATGATAGTATTACTAATCTAGCTACATCAGTTCATTGATTTTTTAACCCTCTCGTGTATTTTCGCTTTCATTATTATTATTATATGTGTGATAACCAGCACAGATAGTTCCAGTGCACTTTTATAACTTTTCTCATCTACAACTTTTCCAATAGATGAATTTTCACTTTCAAATGTCGAAATCCCGAAAAGAGTCGAAGTCACAAAAGTTTTATTTTGCACGCTACGGAAAGTGCAACAGAATCATTTCGTAAATGCGAGGGAGAAAAAGAAAGAAAACAAAAACAACACAAAAAAACACGGCGACAGTAAGAAAACTGCATCATCCATTCCATTTCCCTGACCTATGTAACTTTAATTCATATTGATAAGGTAGATGCAGAAAAAGTATAAAATGAGACTGAAACTGAGAATGTTGTTTGAGAATGAACTTGTGTGATGAAAATAAAGTTGCAGATGGGAATTTGCAGTTGAGTAAAGTTTTGTAAGAAAAAATTTTTATTTGTTGCTTTAAAATTTTTTTGTGCTGCGTAAAAACATTTTTGTAGGTTTTGGTAAATTTTACAAAAAAATGCTAGCATTCAGGAATTTATTTATGGTGGATTGCAGACGCAATTTCAACAAGCCTAAGTCTAGCTTTAAACATAGCACGGCAGCTGTAATATTATGCATCTCGGGATATTTCGCAATTTTCTCATAAATCCTACAACAATCCCTATCAATCCTCACTGCAAACATCTCAAAATCCCCCCGCAAAAAAATCCATTCAATCAATTCCATAAATCCACTCAAATTTCCATACAAAATCCACCAAATACATCACAATATATAAAATACACTTCTTAGATGTGTCAATAACATTTAGTTGTGTACAAAAAAAAAGCCCGAAGGTGAATGACCTCGCGCGTATGATTGTAAATAAAAAAAATTCTATTTTTATCACTATGCGGAATTAAAAATGTGAAAATGTTATCGCACTCTAGCCGTGGCATTCCTTGAGCAGAAAAAAAAGAATAGGAGAGATAAAAGAAATGTACACGCTTAGACACATCTTCCTAATAAAATGCATACTTACTACACTGTGGCGTTCTGATGCACAAATTTGTGTATTTTTAACAAGTGAGTGAGGAGAAGATAGGAAGCGGTTGAGTTTTGGCGCATTTTCTGTACATTTTTGTTCTCTTTTGTGTGTAGATGGGACGGGAAGTTTGTGTATAGATTAGATAGGAGTTGATAGAGTTAGCTTTTAATGACTTTTGAACCTGTCATGCGTGTAAATGTCTTAAATACTTCAAATTTTAGCGTGTAAATTTACGAATTTTTATTTAAATCACTTAATAACTTAGCAGACTTTTGAGCTCCAGAAACCAGCCTCAGATACTAAATGATATAATTTTGCACTTCGGGGTTCCTAAGATGCAGTATCAGCTAATTATAAACGGTCAATGATCGCAAATGGTCCTTTTGACTATTAGTGGATTCATAAAAGAACTTTCAGGTATTATCACAGTAAGTTCATATAGATAGTCTGTTGCTATAAGACAGTGCTACTCTAATTACGCACTGCAATAAGGTTTCTTGAATCGCAAAAGTTTAAGTTTGAGTCTTAAGAAATCGAAAACTTTTGATCCAATACTAAAATTTGAGATTCACTGATATTAGGTTTAAGTCTGTGATAAATATTATATAAACAGGTTACACCGAATTGATGAACTAACGAGACCTCATTTATGTCATATGAGGCACGTGTCGTTCAATATTATGGCATTCTCGAATTTCAGAGTATTTTTTAAAACAAATTTAAAGCCACCTGCTCAAATTTCAGACGACTAACATCCAGAAACCTCACATATTAGCAATAACTCACTGTGACGTCATGCAGTCAGCAAAAATGCTTCATCATTAAATTATCTACCTCACTAAAGTCAATAAATCATCAATTTTGTGTATTTTTTGCTTAAAATCTATCACAAAGATTTTAATTACTACAAATTTTATCGCCTTAATTAATCTACAGCTTTATACACCTATCATCACTCTAATACACCTTATATCCCACCTTAATTGTCTTGTCAAACACCAAAAATCACCGATGTCATAGTATTTCCTAATTCTACACAATGATTGAATGATAAAATTGCTAGAAAGGTTTATTGAACTCATTAATCAGCTGTATTACGATAAAGAAAAAAAATATATAAAATTGACGTACAATCAAACGCACAAACTGTATATGTATTTATTCTTTTTCTTTCTCAACGCATAAAGGAGAGAAACGAAGAAGAATTGGGCGATGCGATAGTGCGTTCATTTACCCTTACGGAAAATACGATGAACTATTTTTGTGCTATGAAAATTCTGTTTGGGGATTGGAATTTTTTTTTATATGAAAAATATTTCAGGTGTTGCAGGAAGAATTTCATGAAATTAAGAAATATTACAGATCTGGAGTCTTATTAATCCCAAGTGAATTTAACTGAACATATCCAATATAAATCTTCATCATGTTCAAGTTCCTCGATAATTTAATAAATCTTAATTAATCTCCCCATTGGCTAAATCTACAATAATAATTTTTTATCTTTATCTTATTTCCAGCTCAAATCGAAATCATCCCATGTAAAGTGTGTGGCGATAAATCATCAGGCGTTCATTATGGTGTCATTACATGTGAGGGTTGTAAAGGATTCTTTCGACGCTCACAAAGTTCAGTTGTTAATTATCAATGTCCGCGTAACAAACAATGTGTTGTTGATAGAGTAAACAGGAACAGATGTCAGTATTGTCGACTTCAAAAGTGCCTAAAGCTGGGAATGAGTCGTGACGGTATGTATTGAATTTTTAGAATATTTTTCACAAGCTATTGTCATTAATAATTGTGCATGATATTTTTTGCATTCACGGTTTGCGCTAAATTGATTTTCAATAAGCTTTGCACCTTACAAATCGTGAAGTTAAAGGAAATTTAAATTAATAATATTTTTTTTTTCACTGAGTCATAGACCCAAACTGAAAGGTCAAGGAACTGAGTACTTGTGATGATGATTGGTGTGAAAGCTCCAAACAATCGGTTTACTGAAAATGAAAAATTGCCTCGTAAATTATTATCCTTTAATGCCTATCCTCCTCCACCTAACACAAGTGGTGATTGTGGGAGTGAGAGACAACAAATGTATTTGAATAACGACCCGAAAAACTTTTTTTTTCGGATGTCTACAATGATTGATAAAAATTTTATATAAAAGAGACAATTGATTTATATTATGTTCTTTATATAAATGGGGATTGAAAATGAAGACGACATGGATGAATTGTAGAGGGATCAATTTCACATTAGCGTGGATTTTGGTTGTGAGGGGAATGCACTTGTTTGGCTAGCTCGTTTGGTTTGTTCTTTAAGTCACGATAGTTTTTTGTAGTCGTAAATGTTATCAGTGAAATAACTACTGAAAGAATTGACAAAGAATTGAATTTTTAGTGGATTTTTTTTATGGGATTTTTCACCTCGGAGTTAACGAGTGGATTGTCGTAAAAAATTGGTCAGTATGGGAAACCAAGCTTTTGGTTGATTGAATGTTTGAGTTGGTTTTGTTTTAACGTGGAGCTTAAATTTGCTGTAGTTTGGGTTGTATGTTGAGTAGCATGGTCAGAAAAATTTATGAAATAATTCAGGACATGGAAGAAAAATTTGAAAGATCACTTGAAATCTGATGTTAATTTTGAGAAATTTGTTGATAACTGAAAAAAAATTGAGATAATTGTGGGGAAAAACTAGCTTACGGTCAACCAAATATTGAAACGGTTAGCAAAACAATTGAAGACAGAACCTGCATATGCAGCAGTAAATGCTAATTATCAACAGAAATTTTAATTTCAGTTAGATGTAAATAATGAATGTAAACTTACTCCTGGAACTGACATTAGATGTTATTATTCCTATCCAAAGCTACAAAGGACGTGTCCAGAAAAGTTATTGAAGACAAATCCCATCTCAATTTTCTCAAATTCAAAGGATTTTTTAAAGAAAAAAATCTTAATCTCCTTAAATGTTTAATAAGCTCAGCAAACCTAATGACACTGTCAAGAACAAATCAATACTTTAAGTTGCCATTCTGCCATACTTCTCAGTATCCCTCGTTAGCTTAGTGTATAGAGTAAACTCCATAAAATCACAAAAGCGCAAGTTCAATTCCCAAAACTCAATTTTTAATCCAAGCCCCCAAATTGGACTCTTAATCGTTCAATTTTGGACAACAAAATTACATTTTGTAAACATAATTTATATTTAATCATCTACAAGCCCCTCAAAAAAATAAACATAGAGAAAAGTGCGTCCACCTTACATCCTTATTCAATTATTCTGCCTATTATGTTGAAAATTTTTCTTTCCATAATATCCTTTAGGTACGACATTATATACAAATTTTCTGTAAGAAAAACTATTTATCATAACAATAAACTCAGTATGACATTTTCCGTATGAAAATTGAAAACTTTCTCCCCTTATCAAGTTATATTGTACATAATTGTGAATAGGAAATGCGGAAGAAAAAGGAAAAAAAACTTTTTTTTGTGATTTTTATTTCTTTTTCAAAAGATATCTAATGCGAGAATTATATCCAACGCACATACATTATACGCATATAGATTTTTTTTTGTTGTGTATTCTCTCACTCTTCGGCATTTCTTTTCTTCCGTGTACATTCTTACAAGAAGGGAAAAAAATAAGAGAGAAAGAAAATAAAATACGGAAAGTGTGCGTATATATTTCGAAAAGCACGTGCATTTCTCAAATAAAAAGGGCCAATGAACTTTTATGATTCATTTGTATTTTTACTTTACGAGTTTTATTTTCAGTGGCACTTCATGTCTCTTAAAAATAGACTAAATGTGCCATAATTGAACTTCAACTTTAGTTTCAACACTTTACATAAAAAGAAATCTGAATCGATGCATTCTGTCACACATGCACTTTTTTTTTGTGCTGGTTGGTTCGAACATAAGAATTGCCATTTTTGGCAGTGCTTGACTTTTTTTTTGAATATGGATATAACTTTAAAAGGGTGGGTTATGTGCTGATGAATGTCACGCGCATCAGTTAAATCTAAATGTTAATGCTTCTGAGGAATTATTTTGTTTGGATGGAGTTGTTGATGTCATTAGGGATCGTTCGTAAATGATGTCTATGAATAAATTGAGTTTTTTACGCCTTTTGTCGTTTGTCAAATAGCTCCCTGCTTTTCTGATACTTTCAAGTTGACCAAGAATTGGAAACTTTGCGTTAATCTCGAAAAATTTTCCTCTCTTTAGATATTTTGCATCTTAACTCAGAGGCTGGTCTCTAGGGCTACCTGAGGGTATGCAAACCTAGCTACCATTAAAGTGAATCTACACCAAATTTTGTTCCTAAGTTAAAGCGCTTCAAGTAGCTCTAGAAATCAGCACAATGATAATTTAGGATTTTTTTAAAAAAAAAAATGAGTTCAATTCTGACTTTTCAAGTCTTTTATTTAACATCATAAGTAAACGACCTCCTTAATAGATACATCATATGATTTATTAACATTTTTATAGCTTCTTTTTCATCAAATAAATCGATTTACTGTTAATCCTGTGTTAAAGAATTTAAATTACCGAAAAAAATAGAATTTTTATGTGTGGATTTAACAAATATTGCGATAAAATATTGATGTTCTTAAGGTACAAGCCTAGAACATTTAGAAATTTATTAGCCATTTGTAAGCAAATTTTAGAAGTCGTTAAATGTTTTACAAGAAATATTGATGGATTTTTGGAAGAAGAAAATCGAAGCTGAAAAGCTTTAAAATTGGCATTTTGATTAGAATTTTTTTGGGAGGATTTAGCGGAGTTTTGTTGAGTAATTGAGAAGCTATGTGATGTGTGGGAAGATTGGATTGAAAGCGAGGCAATTTTTCATGAGATGAAGATAGTTAAGAGTCCGAGGCAAGTCAATAGCTTGCTTTAGAGAGGTTTGGATGCATCCTGGTTACATCCAGGACCTATAATAGTTTACTAGTATTTATGGTCGTACGATTGCAATTCATAATATTTTCTGGAGCATTATAGCCCACTGCTCAGCATCCAATCATCAAAATAAAATCTTTTAAGTCATTAATTCAAGAAAATAAAGAAATGAACAAGCAAGACCGATTAAAAATAAAATTCATGCAAACTAGCCAATACATATTCCATTAACAAAGCTTAGCACCTGCCATGTCCATCAAATTAATTAAATATCCACTTAATATCCACAATTTATAGACAGACAATTAAAAATATCAAAGACTTAATGTCTAAGTCAAGTGACTGAAAGTCAACTTCCATTTTTATTATTGTATCATTCGGAAAATCCCGCTATGAGCAAGACTTTCACTAGCTAAAGCCGATAAAAGTCCAGTTTTAAGTGTCTTTTGTTTGCTCATGACTGTAAATTGAACTTTCTAAAATAAAAAAGTCTATTTCTTCCTTTTCTTCCTTCCTATGACAGAAAAATCAATAAAAAAAAAACTTTATTAATTTTCCATGTCCATCCATTGAATATTAATCTGTTATCCTAAATTAAAACGAAATAATAATGAAATTTTAATTAATTTTCAATTTTTCTTCTATTCAATACAGCCGTGAAATTTGGCAGGATGTCAAAAAAGCAGAGGGAAAAAGTGGAAGATGAGGTGCGATATCATCGTGCACAAATGCGAGCTCAGGGTGATACCGCTCCCGATAGTTCAGTGTTTGACACTCAAACACCATCCAGCAGTGATCAGTTACATCACAGTTATAATAGGTAATAAATTTTTTTTTGTTTTTTGACTGTTATTTCCTTATTGATGGCATTATGCAATTTTTTTCATATATTTGCATTGATATCGTATTTTTATTTTAAATAATGAGAAAGCCAAGACTTGGCAGTCATTAAACTTTCATTTATCTTCATCTCTTTTTTTTTCTCTTCTCCTTCTCGTGTGTCGCATATAGTTACAGCACATATTCAAATGAAGTTGGTTATTCAAGCCCGTATGGATATTCGGCATCGGTAACATCTCAACAGACGATGGGTTATGATATTTCAGCAGATTATGTAGACAGTACAACAACTTATGAACCGCGCAGTACCATCATCGATTCGGACTTTATTGGTACACATAGTAAGTGTGACTTTATACTATTTTATGACTTTTTTGGGCGGGTTTTAATTTTAAGGGAAAAAAATCCACAACTCGTGGAAGTTCAAATCTCGCTTTTAATTTGTAATTTTTGCAACAACATGGAACGTGAAACTCATTTTATCATCTCACATAAAAAAAATCCTAACGTTATTATTTTTTTGGTTGGTTGTGGCACATTTTTATCCATTAATTCAATATCTTTGGTACCCAAAACTTTAAAAATTTCCCATGAAACAACAAACAAAAAAAATATCCATTGCGAAAATAAAAAATTCCAGATAAAAATTCATCACCGTCGCATCAACAGCGAACGATTTCGCTGTCAGATATTCGTATAGCTCGCCTAACAACCGTTTCAGATCAACAGCTTGCTGACGTAACCATGCAAGGTACAGCATCAGCGTTGACTAATTCATGTACAACTAATGATGCGGGTACAATTATAACGATAAAGCAGGAATCACTTTCGAATGTTGATAATTTGGTTGGAAGTTTTGTCGACTCAACGACTTTCCTTCCATCGCCAAACAGTCAAATTAGTAATGCACAAATGGCACAAAACTCTTTGACCAATGATTCGAATGGAATTAATGAAGGTAAGGACTTTAAATCTTATTTTTTTGAGATTATTTGACAGACATTTTTTTTGACGAATTTCCATATTTTTCAGTTGCAGGCACTAATGCCCATCAACATACCGAAATAATATTCACTGAAGACGACAGCTCATGTGATTCACAAAAATGGGGTAAAAATTGACTTTTGTTGCAACCACAGCGTTTCACACCACAAAATACAACAATACACGCGTTTGGCGAGCTTTTAGTTATTTTTATTTCCCATTCTTCTGTTGACTTCTGTCGTTTTACGAATTTTTTTTTAAAAGTTTATTTCAATTTTCATCATTTTAATTAATTTAATTTGTATGAAAAAAAAATCTGTTTTTTGTTTTATTTTTCAGGACATTCAATAACGACTGATTTTAGACTCTTTTAATCAAATTCAATTCACACACAGACACCAAACATACCCATATCTGCATGCTCATTTTGTTTCATAAAAATTTGATTTATTTTTCTTTTGTGTGGATTGGAGAATGAATAACTGCTTTTTTTTATTTTTGCATTTTTAATGAAATTTTCATGATTTTGTAAACATATATAACTTAATGACTGTAGTGTGAGAAATAACAATTCATTTTCACTCATTTCATATTTAAAAGTACTTAATCAGCTTTGAAATATTTTTTGAAATAACTAGCAAGAAATAATAATATTAATTCAGACTAAAATTAATGACTAAATCATTATTAATTTAGTTTACCTATTGACTACTTGCTGAGAAGTAGCTGGGTAGCATATGAAGTAAATAGGGGTGTAGATTAACTATTTTTTCGATGAAATTTGAATTTTTAAGCACAGTTGCTGCTTTAGAGGCTGTTCATAAATGACGACTATCAAAAAACGAGATTTTAACCCCCCCCCCCCCCTCCCTTTAGAGCATTATTTGAATCGTCAAAAAAATCCACATTCAATTTAAAGTGGATATTGAATTTCATTTATGACCAAAACTTTTGATTTTTTCGAAACAATTTGATTTTCAGTAATATACTCCCCGCCCCCCACCCCCTAATATGTTCATACTTATTTTGCAAAAATCAAGCAACAAATTAATTAAATTCTTAAAATTGTATTTAGAGCACTTCAGAAGTTTCACCGTATTAGCTACTCCAACGCTAGAATTTTTTTTTTAATTAGAGGTAGGGGGTGGGGTGGGGGGGTATTACAAAAATCCATCAAAAAATTGTTTTAGATTTTTTTCTTAATGATTTTAGCAAATTGAAGACTTCGTCCTCCAAATCCCTCTAGCCTTGCACCTAGCAAATCTAATAAGTTGCTATTCATGGGGTTTAGGACCTTGTAACAGCTCAAACAAAGAAAAACTTTCCATACAAAATTTGTAACAAGGAGGAAAGGTCTGAAAAGTCCTTATTTTGCGGCACATAATAAATGAACGAGCCCAAAATAGCCCCAACCCCATTACCTTTCTCACAAACGCGATAATTCTCTCGTAAATCCCCCACAAAAAAATCCCAAAATTCAATTTTCTCACACATTCAGTTTAAGATTTTTAATTTTTCAGTTGTTAATATTACTACAGCATATCCTTCAAACAAACTCTTAAATGTGGTTTTTATTATCATTAATTATTCATGGAAAATTGAAACTTTTCTTTTCTTCTTCCAGCCGAAGGCGACATTAATGATGTTCTTATAAAAACATTGGCTGAGGCTCACGCAAATACAAATATCAAATTGGAAGTTGTGCATGAAATGTTCCGCAAAACACAGGTAAAATTAATTAATTTTAGGACATAATTCTACGCTCATTTTCCTAATTTTATGCTTCACAGGACGTAAGTCAACTTCTTTATTACAAAAACTTGTGTAAGGAGGATCTTTGGTTGGACTGTGCTGATAAATTGACAGCTATGATTCAGAATATTATCGAATTTGCTAAACTTATACCTGGATTCATGCGATTAAGTCAAGATGATCAAGTGAGTAGCTGAACTATTCAAACTTAGTCTGAAATATACAATTTTAACCTTTGCATCCTCAATTGCAGATTCTTCTTCTCAAAACCGGATCATTTGAGCTTGCTATAATACGTATGTCAAGATTAATGGATCTGTCGCAAAATGCGGTACTTTACGGCGATGTGATGCTACATCAGGAAGTATTTTACACATCCAATTCATCGGAAATGAAACTTGTTGCTGGAATATTTGAGACTGCCAAGAGTATCGCTGAACTAAAACTCACAGAAACTGAGCTTGCGTTGTATCAAAGTTTAGTGCTGCTGTGGCCAGGTGAGTAGTGATTCTAAAGTCTATCTTGACCTAGAAATGCCCAATTCCTGAATTTAAAGGAATTAACATATTTTAACATTTCAGAGCGACCTGGCGTACGAGGAAATACTGAAATCTTAAGACTTTTCAACATGAGCATGAACGCAATCAAACAAGAAATTGAGGCAAATCATGCGCCATTGAAGGGAGACGTGACTGTGTTGGATACTCTTCTCACTAAAATTCCAACATTTAGGTGAGTAACTTTGGACATATTTTTGATAAATGAAAGCTAGTGGATTGTTCGGGTGGCTAAAACTGTGGATGAGATGGGTTGTGTAGATTTGTAAGACTTCTGGGTTTTTGGAATTTAAATTAGAAAAATGTGTCTTGTAGTCATGAAATAGGTTTTGATGTTTGTTAAGTTTTGAGATTAATAATCATGATTTTTGGAGTGCTGAAGCAGAGCAAAGGGGAAAGGCGATTGGGCTTTAAGAAAAAATGACCAAAAATCCTATAAAAAGGCGTCATAATCAATGCAGAGCCGTTGTTATAATTCTCTTTATGTCATTGATTCTAAAACTATCCTAATTGAGTCAATAGCCAATATAGTAGCAGCTACTGTATCGCGAAGTATAGGTGGACCTGGAAAGTATGACAAACACTCACCCAAGTGCATAAGCAAGATCATTTGCTGGAAGATTCTCTTAAAGGGTGTTCGAGTAGCTTTGTATCTACAATATTAATTATTCTAGTACGACCCTTACTCTTAAGGACCTTAAAAACTGTTTAATAAGCTTTTAGAAATTAGCATAGATTTTCCATAAAAAAGCTTAAAACTCTCCTGAATAACTGAGATAAAATATTGCTTGAAGAATGCTAGATTTAAATTTGAATGCACAAAAATTCAGACATTTCCATTTTTTCTTCCAAAAATCGAACGAATTTGACATTTTAGCATAATTCGTTCTTTAATGCTACTAGGTTGGCCACTCGATTCGACTCACCAATCAAACTAGACAATTTAGTTTTTTTATTCACAAAAATGAAAATTGTAAAACTAATTGTAAAAAAAAAAAAGTTGTAAAAAAATAATTTTGATTTAATTACAAAAATATTTTCAGGGAGCTCTCGATGTTGCATATGGATGCGTTGAGTAATTTCAAGCAGGAGCATCCTCAATACATATTCCCAGCATTGTATAAAGAATTGTTTTCTATTGATGCGCAACAAGATCTGTTAACATAACAAAGTTACAACACCACTAACAGCAACAACAACAACAACAACAACAACAATAAGAATAATAATAAAAATAATAATAATAATAATTTAAAGAATAGTTTTACAATAAGTGATGATGAGAATTTTATTAATCAAAATGATAATGATACGGTTATTATTATTATACAACATAACGACTCCGCAAATTGAACATTTATGTAGAAAAATTCTTCTTTCCTTACTTTCTTCTATCATGTTTAGTGTACTGAAAAAAAAGGTCTAGAATGACTAGGAGAATTTTTTATAATTTTTTTCGGAACACAAAATTTTTGAGATTTTTAAGCAATGAAAAAAAATAGTGTAGATGACTTATTTCATCCAAAAAACCTCCCTTTTTATATCATCAAAATTGTCTAAGTTCATAAAACAAAACAAAAAACGAAGTTAAAAATGAATGAAAATATTCCAGTTACTTTAAAACTTAGTCATTTTAGAATTTAGTGAGAAATTTTAAAGAAGACAAAGTTTGTAAAAAATATAAATTGTTTAATATGTCTCATCTAGGATTGAATTGTTGGGAATGATGGGGTCTGTTTGTGAGGTTTTTTTTCTGAATTTTCAATCTTTTTCAAAAAATTTAAATTTATTTCTTAATCAAAATTGCAATACTGTAATTCTAAACGTACTCCTAGAAATTCGTACTTATCTGGGGTGAAGTCACGAATTGGAAGAGGGGGATTTGTGATCCAATCCCCCCCCCCCCCCCCCCCCCCATGGCTAGGCGCCTGGTACTCTTATTTAAAAAAATGCAGAAAATTTCATGAAAATAAAATTTTTTAATTTTATTCAATTTTTACTTTTTCTATGTTTTAACATCTTAATTTTAAATTCTTTTCAAAAATGCAATATTGACATGAAATTTTTAAAATAGTTTTGAAATTTCAATCTTTTTAACATTTTAAATGTTTTTATAAAATATTAAAAACATATAAGTTTGAATCTAAATAGTTCAAATTTGAAAATTCAAGTTTTTCAACTACTTTAAATTCAAAATTTCAATAAAACCAGCAAACAACCTTAAAATCCAACAATTTTTATCTTTTCAACATTTAATTTATAGAATCCATCATTTATCTTCGTTTAATTCTATTTTTTATTAAACAAACAAGCAAAATAAAAAGTGAGAAAGTATAATTTTTTTAAAAAACGATCTCAAAAGAAATGAAAAAAAAACTGGATAGAATGATTTTTATAATTTTTCACAAAAATATATTAACCACTTTATATATCTTCTACTAGCAGAAATCATGTGTTTTTTAATAATTTAAAAAGAAAAACTAGTAAAAAAGCGTGAGAATGAAGAAATTTTTATACAAAACTTTTTGTGTTCAAAAAAAGAGCCTTTTTTATTTTTATTATTTTTATTTTTTCACAATAGAAAACCACACAAATTAAAAATTAGAAATGAGGAAAGGAATATTCTTATACATATAAAATACATACCTTTATAAATATTAATATTATTATATATATTTTTTGCTCCTTGATTGTTATAATAATTTATAAGGTTCTACTCCTCAAAAAAAAACCTGGAAACTTTTTTAAAAAAAGCTATCAAAAAATATTTGAGAAATTTTTGTTATTTCTTCTTATTAATGCTGATAAATTAACTAAGAGAAAAAAATAGTTGAAAATTAATTTTTTTCTTGTCAAGTTTTTTCCTAATTTTTAAATTAAAACAAAAATTACAAATTATAATATATTTACAATTGTATCATTTATGGTTTAGATGATATGCTCATTTTAAATTAAATTTATATTATTGATGATGAAACTTGAATTATTTAGAAACAAAATTTCAAACATCCAACAAATAAATTTTTTTAACTTTGATTTTATTGGTCTTTTTCAATTTTGTGGATTATTGAATTTGATTGAGTTTTTAAAAATGTAAATTATTTTAAATTTTGAGAGGAAATTCGGTCAACTTTGTCAAAAAAAATTATAAAACTGAATTTTTTTAAAATTTGGAATTTTTTTAAACTTACAAATTTTTAAAAAATGAATTTGACATTTTTGAATTTTTATTCAATTTTTAAAAATAATTCACACTTTGAATTTAAATTTTATAAGAAAATGTACAAAGCTTTAAGCACGAAAATATCAAATATTTTCATGTCAAACCTTAAGTCATTTTTTCTTTCAAATTTTACATCAAATAAAATAAATCCCAAATTTTGAAATGTTTATAATTTTAATTTTTCTTCTTTTCAAGAAAAGTTATTCAGGAAATAAGAATTTTCCACAAGTTGTTGATGATAAATTTTCATTAGAAAAAAATTAATAAATATCAAATAAAGTCCGTTGTACGTAAAATGCTCTCGATTTAGACCCCGATTTAAAAACTGATTCTGCAATTCAGAAGATTTAAAATACGTAGAAATGGGTCAAACTGGTGTTGATTCTAAAACAGATAAAAAAAAGTTAAATATTTAGGCACTTCGACTGGATGTCTTGATAAGACCCTTGTATTTGCGATAGGAGTTTATTTGGGAAATGCTGGGTTTTTGGATTTTGAGAGGAAATTCTGATGATGAATATATGGATTTTATAGATTTTACAATTTCAATCTTTTTTTAAGATTTCACAAATTTTGTTTATAATAAAAATAATTTTAATCAAATTTTAATAGCTTTGCAAGTTAAAATGAACATTTTAATAGTTTCATCATTAAATTGATTAAATCCGACATTTATAAATAAATTCAAATTAAATTATTATGTCACACTTATACATTTTTGAGAATTTAATCAAGTGTCCTGAAATGTCATTAAAATGCTGTGGTTTAAGCCACATTGCAATCCATTCATAGTTGCAGCTAAGTTTATGCTTTTGCGTCAAGAAAATAAATTTCAATAAATTCACAAAAACTTCAAAGTTCATCATCAGAACTCTCTCAAACACCCACCCAGCATTCGGCTTGTTCCTAGGAAGCGAAGAAAAAAATTAAGGACTTAAAAATGGAAATTTAAAAAACAAAAGATAAAAATTCCTTTAATTTTCGTTGAACGAAATTTGTAAAAAAAAATTCTGAAAAACAAAAGAAAAATTCTTTCATTCGAAATCTCTTCACATTGTTTTTTATACTTTCTCCCCAAAAGCTACAAAATTGGTTTGTGTCTCGACTTACAATGAAAAAGAAGAAAAAATTGTGCACGCGCAAAAAAATAATTTTTAAGAGCAAAACAAAATAAAAAATAAAACACGAGAAAAAAATAAAATTCTAAAAAGAGCATTCGTTTCCCCCCTTTTTGTATTAATTTTGGCATAAATTATTGTAGATTATGAGAAAAAAAATACTAATCGTTTTTTGTACGCGAAAGAGCATTAAAAAAAGTTTAATGTAAATTAAGGACAAAAAAATGAGAAATCTAAATTCATAAGACTTGGACAAAAACAAAATTATTACTATAAATATATTTAATGAAGAAAAATGAAAAATATGAACGAAAATTTGATACAATTTGATATAAAATAACAATTAAAAATTAATGTGAGGGGTCTATCAAAAAAAAATAAATTTAAATTCAACACGCAAAACTTTTCACTTTTATTAGCATTTTTTTTAAACAAAATGTTTGATTTTTTTCGTATGGACTGTTTTTGGGGGGCTGTGGGGGGTCTGGTAGATTGACTGTTTAAATTTAAAATTAATATTTTGAGATTTTTAAAGACTTTTTCTTATTTTAGATTCTAAATTATTGTAGAATCTTAAAGAAAATTATGAAAATTGTCCAGTTATGTCAAATGACTATTTTCAAAGTAAGGGAATTTAAAATATTAGGGAGGCTAACCTTCCCTATCAATAATTCAGGGTGAAAATTTCTTCGAGTTCAAGGATAAAATCCTGAAAAAAATTCCAATTTTCGTTACAAATTTAATAGAGAACCCAAGACTAATGTTTAATCGATCAATCCTATCTCAATCCCCTAAAAATACCCCACAAATTTTGCTTTTGTTGGAGAAAGAAAAGCTATAATTTTGAAAAGAGAATGAAAAACATCACGAAGATAAGAGAGAACTTATTTTTAATGTAATGGGTGCTTCTTCTATTAATTGCAAGATTAAAAATGAGAAAAAAATAATTAAAGTAATTTTTAAGTGGATAAAAGAATATAAGATGTAAGAAAAAAAAGTTTATATATTAAAAATCATACTATTATACAATTATAAACAAAAAAAAATGATAAAAATAAATCTTAAACATACACACACAAAAAAAACTCTTTAGAAAAAATAATATCCCTCTTTTTAAAAAATACAACTTATTCAATGTATGAATTAATTGCCTTAAAATGAATTACTAAACTGAGACAAAAAAAAACGATGATGAAGTAAAATGAAATTATTTAGATTGACATACAAAAAGTACACATAATTAACAATATGTGGATAGTAAATGAATGAAATGATGATATAGAACACACACGTACATACACACACACACACACACTTACAAGAATGAAAATCTTTTAGTTCAAGATCGATGACAAAAATAAATGTAAGGATGATAAGTTAATATTGTGTAGTAAGTTGAGATTTTGTGGTTGATTTGGGATTGTTGGATGTACATTTTTAAGAGCTTTAATCAATTCAATCTTATAAAGATCTCCTGGATTGGTCATTTAGTTTGAAGAGTGAGATTTTAAGTTTAAATTGTATCAATTTTTGATTACTGAGCTATAAAAGTTAAAATACTATAACAAAAGTTTAACTTAAAGTTCAAAAAGTTGCTCTTTAAGTTCAAAAATTGCAAACTTGATTGCTGAGCTATAAAATTTAAAATACTGAATCAAAAGTTTAACTTTAAGTTCAAAAAATGAACTATAAGTTCAAAATTGCAACTCAAGTTACAAAAGTGAATCTAAAGTTCAAGAATTGAACATTAGGATCAAAAATTGGGTTCTAAGTTGAAAAATTGCATCTTTAGTTCATTTGAATCAAATATTGAGTTTATGGCTTAA